TCCATTGAGCATCTGTGATTTGTGCTCAACCAAGTTTAATCCACATTAGTTCCCCCTTGCAACGAACATGACTCGAAGCATCTGCAGTATGCCAGAAATCACGAAATATCTTCAGGGGTCTATAGACTCCATGCCTGAATGGAGGTCCTAATATTTTGGCTCATCAGTTTACAGCATCATAATTTGTTCATTCATTTTCCTTCGGCTTAGTCCCTTATTTATCAGGGGTTGCCACAGCGGAATGAACCACCAACTATTTTGGCATCTGGCACTGCAAACTCCACACAGAAATGCCAACTGGCCCAGCCGGGACTCAAACTTGTCATCTTCTTGCTGTGAGGTGACAGTGCTAAACACCGAGCCACCATACTGCCCCCTATATAACAGTTTATACTGCAAATTTCTCAATGTTTTATGAATTCTACTATAAACTGCATTCAGTCACCATTTACTGATCAATTCGATATACAGTAGAGTAAATCTATGTTGTATTAAGAAGACACTTTAGATGATATAAATAACTGTAGTAATAAAATGCATTTATTGACATATTAGCTTAAGTAAGCTGATGAATATGTCGTTTCTCTTATGAGTTGGAGAACAGTGAATACCTGAACCACTGCTTCACTAAATGTGTGAAGACATCATTTGGTTGTATAATAATGCATACTAGTCAGTGTTCAACAGGTTTCGTTAGATGGTGAGGACATTTTTGAATAATGAGGACATTTTAGATCATTGGAAGACTAATCAAGTCTGTACACACATAGACATTAGATTTTTTGATAGTATCACATTTTCGGTAACACTTTAATGATGTGTTAATATGTAAACTAAATGATGCTTTATAATAAATTAATGATAAGTTAATGTACGCGCTAATCATGAACTAACTTTAACTACAGTCACATGAGTCACATGAGTTCATGAATAAATAACGGTTACCTTAATTACTTGTAAGTATATGGTTGTTAATTAATAATTAACAATTAAATTTAAGCTAAATGTAACCAACATGAATTCATGAACTGTTAATGTATAATTGTCATCACTTTACTTGGAGGGGCACAATATCATCGACTTATCCTTTTCTTTTCATGAACTCCAGTGTTTAAGCTGTTCATGTTAATGTCAACACTTTTAAACACTTTTCTGTTGGTATAAACTGTAAACACACTAGACGGACGTGCATGAGGAGTTCATGAGTAGTTATGGGTTAATGATGATGTGCCCCTCCAAGTAAAGTCATGATATAATTATACGTTAACATATCATAAGTTCATAATGGTTAAACTAAGCTAACTAATTTGGTATTACCACATCAAATAACAAATGATTATGTACTAACAAGTAATTAAGGTAGCCATTAATCACTCATGTGACCTATGTTGTAGTTCCTACTCATGATTAGCAAAAACATTAACTCATCATTAGTTCATAATAAAGTAATATTTAGTTTACATGTTAACACATCATTATTCATGTACTGCTATTGTAAGTGTTACCTAATATTCTTGTTGTGAGTAATTGCTTAAGTTTATTATCACGATATTGACCTAAGCTGCAAAAATATTACTTTAACAGGTATGACAAAAATAAGTGTATTGCATTATTGTATATAAATATTCAAGTAAACAAATGCTTCAAACAAATTAAATTTCAAAAGTTACAGCTTTGCAACTTTATAAATTATATAGTAAAACAGTTACCACCTTACAATAAAGTCACATTAGTAAATGGCAGTTATTGAATTAATGGACAAACTGATTTATTATATAAAACTGTGTTAATGTTAATAAAATACTTAATTAACTTAGTTTGTATTATGTATTAGTATTCTAATATATAATACAAATGTATTAATAAATATATATACATATATATATATATATATATATATATATATATATATAAATAAATAATAAAATACTTAATATAAATCTAATAGTTATAATTCTAATGTATAATACTAACTATTAAGCTAAACAATTAAATCTCAATCATTTGGTGCTGTTGTGAACACTGCAAAAGCAATGTGAATATTCTTAAAAAGCATAACATATTGAATGATTGAATATTGCCATTTGTCTAATAGACATAGACGGCGCAAACTGTGAATCATGTCTTTGCGTAATCAACATCAAGGAACAGAGGAACAAACACTGTCATTAAGCAAAAGCCTTTTATTTGACCTTTTTTGTTTTGCTTTTGCAGATATCAGTAGAAGCTTTTGGCCACTGTTACAAGTCAAGTGCTAAAGCTCATGTGCTACTGTAATAGATAACATTGCCGTGAGACTCAATACTGGTCAGAGAAAATAAGCTGAATAGCAAACCTAAACCACTAAGCACTTAATAATTAATAAAAGCACAGGGTGATTGTGCTTTGGGTGACCTGAGATTGAATCTTGCCTTTCTAACCCTGTCTGGCCTTTTTTAGACTTCTAAATAAAAGGCAAGAAAACACCCCAAATTAATGTCATTTGCTGATGTAACTGACATGCTTAGTTGTCTTTTGCTATATTACATCTCAGACAAAACATATATGGCAAGTTTTCAGTTACATTTTGCCACTAAAATGCAAAAATACAGAAATGTGAGCCTTTGACAGCTACATAATCCACATGTTGAATGCAGCAGTTGGGCTGAGATTACTGTTGCTGGTAATGAAAGGCAGATTTAGCTGAATACGACTCTGAAAATATGAAACGTTAGCAACACCTTAAAAGAGAACCAATGCACTCCTAACATATTTAATGGCCCTAAAGCAACTTTGACCTAAGCACTGTTAAAATTCCACTTTAGCCACTTTGAACACAAACATTTAAGCAAAGTTATCAGACAAAATGGCTTAAACACTGTTACACAGAGTAGACAAAAATAGACTATTTACACATTTTGAACACTGTACTTTGGGGTCACAATGTGTGATGCAACTAGTTGAACTGTTACTGTAAATATTTCTTATTAATTGTATTATTCAGTTTGTTCAACTTTTGTACTCTGGTTGTTTAAAACTTGATGTTAGCATTTTATGCTTCAGCAAGTCGTTCTCATGCGAACTTTAATAATTTGTATTAAAGATGCATTTTTAAAAATTAAACATAAATTTCCCTCCAAACACAGCAATCAACATTATCAATCGTACAAAAAGCCAAGAAGTAATATACATTTTTTTTTCAATTGAAAATGTGCTTTGTTATTACAAGACACCTAGTTGTTGAAAGCTTATATGCCCCTTTAGAACTTGTACTGACTTGTACCACATGATGGCTGAGACAACTGAATATCACCAATTAGGCTAAACATTCAGGTGTTCATAGCTTTGCCACTTATAGACTCAAATAATGTCCAATGTTTTTGTTTAAAAATGCATATTTTTCTAATTTATTTGGACTTCCTTTCACACTGAGATCTCCAAAAAACGCTCTCCAAAGTGCACAAATTTAAAAAAGCTTTGTGTTGCACTGTGGACTGCAAAAATGAAGGCGTTCAAAAAAGACAACTCATTTTTAGTCATGTGACCAATTCAGCTAAAATGGTGGATGATGTTATACAGCAGTTGTTTTGGATAGACGTTTTGACAACATTGTTGAAGATGTCAGTTTGTACATGCTCCAGATAGCTTTTCTTCAAAGGACATAGAATATTTATTCAGAGCTGTTGTTTTATAGTGTATTTTCTTGCTTGCATTTACAACTTTATATTCATCTGTTACCCATAGCTCGCTGTCGATACATTTACAAAATTGGTGTTTTTCCTCAACATATTGCCTTGTGGCAATTGTTTAAAGAGCTGGAATGTAAATAAATGCCATGCAAAACTGACATTGGTCAAAGAGTCTCTTAATGCAGTGGTCCTTAACCGAAAAGGCTGTGGATTGGTATCGAATTGGTTGGGGTGCACAAGAAATCGTTAATTAATTCTGTTTTATCTATTATCTGATTCAGAACAATCTTTTATTTTGAACATTTTTTTAATGTAAGTGTATTCTCTCGTTTACATCTTGGTCACTTGAGCACACAAATTTAACCTACAAGCAGCAAAATGAGTAAGAAACAAACGTCTTTGGAAAGTTTCTTTGCTAAGGTAAAAAGCACCTGCGAGCGGCCAAGAAATGGATACACAAGCCATTTGTGTCAACAAATCAGGTGAATCCACCAATTCTATGCAAGAAGATCAACAGCTAGAGATCGCAAATGATGGCTGCCTTTTAGGAGTCATTCCCATATTCCCATTCTCTTTTCTAGAGTTTGAGCAAGTTCATAATTTTTAATCAAGGTGTGTAGCTTGCGCGCACAAACGCACAAACTCTCAGATGCACCCAGTTTAATGAATGCCGCGATCAGCTTCAGCTTGTATGGAATACAAACATTTGTAATATACAAACCCAACCTCCCTCCCTGGTCTGCATTAACATTGCCAAGTGTTGACCACTCTGGGGTGATAAAAAAGTTGGGGACCAATGTCTTAATGCATGCACAGTACAGTAATGAAAGTGTTTTCACTTTCCAACTATTGAGAAACTATTTTTTTAATCTGCATCTGAATATATGATTTACTTGATTAATATCATTAAATCCCTTAATTAATATTACAATTCATGAATTAAAATAGTTCTTTTAAATGTTTGTCGTATTTCTTTTTTGTTGTTGTTGTTGTTGTTCGATATTGAGTTACAGTACAGTACATCCCAAAACTCACCTGTTGCATGTATTTTAGAGGATTTTCAGACCCTTTTTGTTTCAGACCCCTTTATGTATGCACATGAAAGACATTACCAACACATAATTGATCTGCCCTTTTCAACAAGCAAAAGGTCACATCTGATCGACCCCCCAAAGTTCTCTTATTTTCTTACACCACCTGAGATTTCCACAGTGCTCAACTTTTTTTCTTAACGCTTCTGAATGTTTTCTTTTTCCACTTGACCTCAGAATGAGAAAAATCAATACAACCACCAAGCTTTGGCATCCTACAGTAGATCAAGGTAAACGGTTTCTTCCCACATCCATTCTCAGTTCAAATCAGACGTTTTATTAACACCTAAAGTGCAGGCTGGCAGCCAAAACAGCAGAGTATCTCCTTAAAGGTCTTCCTCATTTCCAGGCTGCGGCAGGCATAGATGAGCGGGTCAATCACAGAGTTGCACATAATGAGAACCAGGTATGTGGTGAAGTGAGACATGTAGCAGAGGCAGAGCGGATGGTGAGGACAGGACACCAGTAGAATGAGGTGGAGGAAAAACGGTGCCCAGCAGCACACAAACACCCCGAGGAGGATGGAGATGGTGACGGCTCCCTTCATGCAGCTACGCTGACGTGGAGCTGGATTTCCAGCACCAGGAGCCGCCGGGGGCAATGCTGCAATTCTCTGGACGTGAAGTCTGGCGAGAAGAAACATGTGTACGTAGAGAGTCGCCATAAGCACTAGCATGGCAAAGAACATGGTGATCAGACACACGATAACGGTCTTGCTTTCAGAGTACACAATGAAGACGATCCCACAAACTACACACACCAGCCAGATCACGGCGATGGCCACCAGAGCTCTGCGTACGGTCACGATGCTGTGGTAGCGCAAGGCGTAGAATATCGTGACATATCGGTCAACGGCAATTGCTAAGAGGTTGCAGATGGATGCCACAAGAGAGATGCAGATCATTGAGTCACACACATTGTCCATCAAACGCACAAATTGGTCACTGGCCACCACAAGGCGACTGTTTAGTACTGCAATGACAATAGTTTCCAAAGAGTTGGACACACTCACCAGCATGTCTGCAGCAGCCAGGCTGCAAAGGAAAAAGTACATAGGAGAGTGAAGGTTCTTGTTCTTCACCACAGCCGAGATGACAAGGATGTTCTCCAGTAGACTCACGATGCCCAGGGTGAGAAAAACCTCCGCCTGGATCTGGACCTGCTCACACAGCGTCCCTGCTGGAGAATCAGCCAAACTGCCATTAGGAGGCAAAGAAGTGCTGTTTACAGATTTCTGTCCTTTAAGAAACTGCAGATGTGAGTCGTTCATCGGGATTGGTGAAGAAGAACAGATCAGAGGTGGAAATTAAAGAGGAAACCAACAAACAAAACACAACAAAAAATAGAGCAATAAAGGAATAAGCAAATAATGAGTAAAAAAAAAAAACTCAGATAATGGGATGGATTATAATAATAAAAGAAGCTTTGCAGGATCACTGCAGAGTCAGATGTTGCAGCTCTCCAGATGTTATCTCTGAAAATCCTGCGCTGCTTGTTTGTTGGCGATGGTCCTGTAGAGATGCTCTGTGATTCAGAGGCACTGAGCAAACGGACTCTCTCACTGCCACTGGCTGTACGTCAGCAGATGCAGCCTCCGCCTGCTCTTTGTGTGTTTGCTAAAGATTGTAAATGAAAGATGTGGGTTTCTGCACACACACACACACACACACACACACACACACTCACTCATAGAGCATGGCAACAAGCAGGTATGTACTGTCTGTGATCCAAATTAATTTTTGACATTTTGCAAAGCTATTTAAGGACAATTAACAGTAATTTTCTCTAAAGACCTTCAAATGCATAAACACAACAGTAAATAGACATCTTCATAACTATCATTTTGTGTTATGACAATTTGCATTCCATAATAATGAAGCACTCAGTACAAGTTTGTTTCTACTGCAGGATAAACAATAAATAAAAGATAAATGACTTTTTTCTTCATACTTAAAAAGATACAAACCCCAAAAATGTGCATTTACAGTACATTTAGTAGTTGCCTTTTTTCCCCTCACCACCAAATTTATATCCCACAATTGCTGGTTATTAGCTTTGTGTTATTCCAAAGTTTTGAGTTTACATTTTGTGATTCTATACTACTACTACTACTACTACTACTACCACTACTATTACTAATAGGAATAAGAATAAGATTAAAGGCAATTGCTACATATTTCATCACACAATTCTAGCTTTTTTTCCCCAACTGCAAGTGTAATAAAAAAGTGCTTAATTTCCTGGATTTGTTTACATTAAACAATTTTTTTTGTGTGTGATTTGATAATTTATGTACACAAGGTTTAATGCATCTTAAAACTCATTATTCTGCTGGAGCTCTTTCAAGTAAGGGAATATATAATCACTTGATTTGCACAGACTGTCATAAAGACATGTCCTTGCAGAACTGTAGAGTCATTTTCTCCACTTATGAGAGATAAAAATCCCTTTTCCCTCCATCCATGAAGTCGTATCCAGGGTAACATCTGTATATCTATTACTGACAGAAGCTTTTAATTATTATACTTTAAGTAGAGAAACAATAGGGTATATGCACAGCTAGTGTTTCCTCCTATACGGATACACTTCCGTTGAACAGCTATTGTGACTTTTTTCAATTGTATACAGTTTCTTTGACAGCATAAATCTTGTAATATCAATAAGATACAATCAGTTAAATTGACTTCAGCATTCATTTAGTTGCTCAAATGTAAAACAAGATGAAAAGCTGTTTACATGCACGTGCCCATCAGCAGGTGAGTGCAGAAACCCCATTGAAAATAATGGAGTAAAATAAATGTTCATATTTTAAAGACATGGCGTGAGAAAATTTTATTTAATGCAGTGCTTCTTGTACAATCTGAGACTTACTTTTTATCTTATATCAATCAGGCAGTGGAGATAGTTGACTTTTAAAGAAAATACACCTTAACTGCATAGTTTACCAGAAGCGTTTGACCCAGGTTACTGCAAAATTAAAAGTCCTTTGACATACTTCTGCCTATTGCAGTGCAAGAACAACCACTCACAGTAAAAACTAGAAACCGATAGTACTCAAAGGGAGTAAACTGAGTCCAAGCTAATATTCCCATGGGGATGTGTGTGCGAATGGGATTTGAATGTAATTCCATGCAATGAGTCTATTCCCACCAGATATCGATTGGTATTTTTTCCACACCTCATCACCCGCTTCAGTGACTTCATGAAGAGTTATAGACCAGACTGTTTCACATGGTGCTCAATTCACACTCCAGCAGATAATCATTAATCAATACTGAGTCTGATAGTTGCCTTCTCAGAAAATACAGGAAATTAACCATATTGCTGACAGGAGAGATGTAGCATGTTAAATTGAAGTGAATAGATGAACTCGGCCATCAAACCCATTTTCATTCAGATTGAATGGAGTTTTGGGTTGAGTAATGAAATCATTTAGTAGACATTTTTATGATCTGTGCATAAATCAAGTAGCCACAGCAATATTTGAATATCTATGCTGAATTTTTAACTAGCCGAAGGTCCAAAAGTACAACAGGGTCAGGGTTATAGAATGGTGATTTTGTTTAAACTCAGTTCGAGTGCTATGTTTGAGTAAGTTCACTTATATTGCCTGCGGAACACAAACACACATTCACAGATAAAGCTTATCTGAGTGTTAAGAATTCAGCCCAGCAGATATGTGGGCGAATCCAAGTCACATTTTAACCCAAAAATCAAAAGACAATAAAATAATATTTTGAAATAATGTTAAAAATTTGAAATGATATCTACGATTCCAACCCTCTTTGAAATTGTTTTTAGGAAAGTTAATATCATTTCACCCTGGTGCAGAACCGAAAGAATGCAGCAATTCCCTCAAGATTGTTCGGTGAACTCAATGATACGCTTGACATTTAGTTCTACAAAATAATACTGCACAAATGCACACCCTAAAATTCTTGTGTAGTTACTTATTAAACATGCATTTTACAATATACGAGTCAGTTTGAAAAGTCAGATTTTTAAAATGTGTCTGTCTAATTTTAATGAAGCAAATGAAAAGCATATGTTTATCACAGGTATCATTTTTACACAAGAATTTTTTTTTCATAAATGGTAATGCCTTGCTGTCTATACTGTAGCATGTATGCAATTATTGAAGAGGGGATGGGAAAGATGCTCAAATCACACCAGTATGTTATCTCAAACACAATTCATACAAATTGCACCACAAAAAGAATGACCAGGCAGTACGGTGGCTCAGTGGATAGCACTGTCACCTCACAGCAAGAAGGTCGCTGGTTTGAGTCCCAGCAGGGTCAGTTGGCATTTCTGTATGGAGTTTGCATGTTCTCCTCTTGTTCACAAGGGTTTCCTTCGAGTGTTCCGGTTTTCCGCACATTTCAAAGACATGAGGTATACCAACACAATCTCATGGCAATTCGTAACTTTTTGATTTAGTGGCTAATTCGTATGAATTTGTATGATCTAATTCGTACAATTTCGTATGATTTGCTCCTCCCCCAATTACGATTGGGTTTAGGGGTGGGGTTAGGTGCCACACCTCCTTTTTAAAATCCTACAATTTCGTAAGACTGAACTGAAAGAGAATATTCCGACATATGACACTAATTTACACTAATTTAGTTCATCCAATTTACCTATAGCGCATGTCTTTGGATTTTGACTACACAACTCGTTTTGCATTTTGCGTCTAATACCTAACTGCTGTATGATTTTCTCCCCGTGTTCTGGTGGGTTTCCCCAGGGTGCTCCGGAATCACCCACAAGTCCAAATACATGCTGTAGGTGAACTTGGTAAGCTAAATTGGCCATAGAGTATGTGTGTGAATGGAAGTGAATGGGTGTTTCCCAGTGATGGGCTGCTGCTAAAAGGCCATCCGCTGCATTAAACATATGCTGGATAAGTTGGCGGTTCATTCCGCTGCAGCTATTTGCAACTCTCACTTGGTTGGCCACTGAAGCTAAGCAAGGCTGTGCCTAGTCAGTACCTGGATGAGAGACTACATTGAAAAGCTTGGTTGCTGCTGGAATTTGTGTTAGTGAGACCAGCAGGGGGTGCTCAACCTGTTGTCTGTGTTGGTCCTAATGCCCCATATATTGATGGGCACTCTATACTGCTCAGTGAGTACTGTCTTTTGGATGAGATGTTAAACCGAGGTCCTGACTCTCTGTGGTTGTAAAAATCCAGGATGTCCTTCAAAAAAGAGAAGGGGTTTAACCCCGTCATCCTGGCCAAATTTGTCCACTGGCCCCTGTCCATCATGGCCTCCTAACCATCACACTGTCTACTCTCTACCAATCAACTAGTGTGTGTTGCGCGGTCTGGTGCAATATGGCTGCTGTTGCGTCAGATTCACCCCCCACTCCCCAAAAAAATGTGTAAAGTGCTTTCATTGTGCAGAAATGCACTATATAAATGTAAGGAATTATTATTATTATTATTATAACTGATAATGTAAACAACATAATTCTTTGCACAAAGGTACAGAACCAAAATATATAGCAAGCTGTTCAAATGAATCGGAAATTTCTTTGATGACAGGCACAAGTGACTCAATGTGGAGGTTGAAAAAGTTTTTTTTTAACAATTTCATTTCTCAAGAGGAATGTGCCAAAGCGACTGCAAAAAATACAATATTTGTCATTACAGGGAGACTTGTGGTAAAAGTCACATAACAATAAAGTCTGAACAATATCCAGATCACGACTGTCTGGACATTCAATACTTCTTATAGTCTCTATACACTGAGATCAACTATGACACTTCAATGTACGCTGTTTTCCTTTCATGAAAATAATGTTTTAATACTTCTTCAGTCAGAGTTAACAGGGAAACCTTGGACCTACAATTGCAGCTTCTCCGGTGTGTGCATGCCAGTTGTCAGGACACTGTGGGGTGTCAAATAGAAAGCTGCTACCGTATATAATTCTCTGCCATGTAAACTGCTGTTCATCATTGAATACTTGTCAAAACCTATAGCAGTAGGGAAGAATATAACCTTTGCTCGGGAGTCCACTCGTGTCTTAATCAAAACCCCCTTGCACCTCTCTCTGACTCACGCAACATTGTTTTGAGGGGACATTTTATAGTTTATGGACATCTTTAACTGTGTGTGCACATATTTCAACACTATATATTTGCTCTCAAAATGTCTCTTATAAGATGCATTTTTTAAAAAGAGTAGCTTTTGTTTCATCAAGTGTTTCATTCTTGAAGCTGAATGGCTTTGTGAGAACAATTGCAGCTTGTTTTTATACAACACAGCCATAGGCACAGTTTAACAAGTT